CAAGTTTTGGAATTGACTAGAATATGGTCTCTCAACACAACATACTAAGATCGTTTTTCCTCTCGCAGGTCATCGAAACAGGAGAAGAAGGAAGCCAGTTCCTGTATCGCATCACTTGGGCGAGAACGGGACTGTCAAAGTCCAATGGACCAACTCAGCCACTTTATGAGTAAAGGACTGCGTCACCGTATCAGTGATATGCGAACGTGCGCTTTAGGTCAATTGGATATGGTACGTTTTAGACTGTGAAAGATAGTATTTGATGACTTTTTAAAATGCAGTGCTGTGTTATGAAGACAAAAGTGACTGTGAATTTATGACTGAACTATTTAATAGTGTTTGAATAAGCTTACAATGTACAACGAACATTTTCAAACGATATCTATCTGTAACTAAATAAATCAGATATTTTTTGCTCAGATTGGAAATATTTGTGTTTATTGTGTGTTGAAATGGTTGTCGATGCCATTTGTATGTCATCAGTATTTATTGTTATTGCTTAGACGATGCACAAATAAATCTTGGACGTACTATCGTGAACCTATTGAGAACGTAAGGCTGAGTGCACACAGTGCAATTGCAACGGTACTAGTACTAGCATAGCGGGAACGCAATATTTTTAATTTATAATTTTTTTCGTAGGTGAATTTGTTTAAGAACTTAAAGTAAAAGAGTTTAAAGTAAAAGGTCAAGTTCTTTCCTGAGTTCCTGATGCATTACTTTTAGCGTAAAATTTCCTATTTTTTGTTTAAGATAATTTACTATTATTAACATTGATCATTTTTCCTCAAAATCTTAGTAATTTGCGGAAAGTTGCGGAAAATGTCATGTAGTACGGAAATTTCAAAATGCAATCCCGTTAGTCAGAGAGTATCAATTGTAAATCACTATGTAATTTCTCAGTGTAACGCAAGCTTTATTTAAAGTTCGTTGTGATTAATATTACAGTAAGATTATGTGGTTATTTGAAAAAAATATGCTTTAAAATATTATGTAAATATCAATTTATATATAATTAGCAAATAAAATAACGTAGTGTAAGAAATTTTGTGTAAAATAAAAAGTGTGTAAATTGTATTTATTTTGTGTAAACGTAATTTATAATGAGCTTGCTTTTTTACTCAATATAAAAAGAGCGGTAATTTACTTCTACTTGAAAGTTGAGCTTATGGCACATACCATTAAGGTCGATTTTGCAATATCAGTATGTAAATGTATCATTTTTGTCCATTACTGCTCTAGATGTGTTCTTATTGAAAGTGTTCACGTAGTTGAGAGAAGTTGATATGGTATTTGTGTAGTAAAATAACTTTACAAGACACAACTGCTCAACATAACCGTTATAAATATGGCATTAAAATTAATATAGGCTTGTCGTTTTATTGTACTGGTTAAAACTAATAAAGTATTGAAGTGAAATAATAAGTATCCATTTATTAAAAATAATGCTATTTTTGTAACAAAATTGTGCTATCGGAAAATCAAACTTAGGCTTCTGTAAATAAAATGCATTTTAGGTATAAGATATGTGTTTGCCGCGAATCGTGGTTTGTTACATTTCAATGTGTCATAAAATATGGATCATTAATAAAAATGAGAATTACAAATGATAAATCATTTTTAAATTAAATAAATGGTAGGTATTGTTAATACATAATAACTATAATAAGTTTTTAACCCGCGACGTGGTGCTTGAGAGGCGGGTCCAAAGAGAAAAGGATTAAATGAAAAAATATTTCATTTTAAATGAAACAGGGGTTTCGTAAATTATAATGTAATGAAATTGAAAATCTAGATAAAGGTAAATATAAATTGATTATAGTTATTAAAACTAATTTATACATATTAAATAAAAAAAAAATGTAAATATAGTTTAGTATTATTAGGACTTTGTGATATAGTAATCGCTCATAAATTATTTCGTAAACTGTTTTTTGTAGCAGCTGTATTTAAAAAAATAATGTCAATATTTCCCATAAATGTATTACCTTTATAATGAGATTGAATATGCTGTAAAAGATGCTAATGAGGTGTGAAGTCTATTAACCAATAATAGTGTAACAGATTAGGGGGATGTTTCCACAACGAAAGCAAAAAACCGAGAAAATTGGCGGGAACGCGGAGCATCTTCGAACACACTCACTCACTCAACGTTTCGGTGGCGACTGTTGGCCGTTGGGAGTGTTGGCGCTTGGCGCGAGCGCGAGCCCGCTCCGCGAGGCGTGGGCGGGGCTTCGAATTTTGAATTTTGGCGCGAACACGAACTCACTACGTTACCACCATTTTTTTCTTATCGCGCTATAAATGAGGTTTTTAACTTAAGAGTTGCCTACAAATAGTATCCTACTAATATTATAAATTGGAAAGTTTGTATATTTCTTTGTTTGTTTGTCACTAATTCACGTCAAAACCACTTATGGAATCGAGATGAAATTTAGACCACCTATAATTCCACGGGAAAATGCGTCAAGCTGTTGATAGAAGCCAATGCATAGTAGGTAAATATGTCAGTCATCTACCGCTATCAAAAAATGATTGGGTTGATAGGACTTTATGCCTCACTAGTACACACGGACTACTCTTGCAAACAGAGTCATCAGTTTAATTTCTTGGAGATAGCATTGTAAGTTTGACAAGTTTGTAAAGTACCTAGGTACATCATTTTTGCACTCTGATGTTGAAGGCAAAATAAGAGGACCTAAGTTATTATAAAATGACAACTAGGTATCTGTACCTTATTTACGCAAATAAATAATTTTAGAATTTTCGAATTTTGAACCGCTCAAGAAGTTAGCAATTTTTTTAATGTTAATTGACATGCCAAGAAGAGCACAAGACTAGTCGGCAGCTCGAGCAGTTAGTGTGTGCCCGACGTTTACATGACCGCATGATGACATTCCACCTTTCTGTCAAGCTCCCGAAATAGTTGCAACTGCTTGAGCTGTTCATGTATGTTATATAGAAGTCTGTAGTTCAATATACAGTCACGGCTTGAAACAGACAATCCTGGCTTCTCTAAGCAGTTCGTGTACCTATAGTAGGCCTAAAAAGAAATTTTTAAGAATAGCATAAAATGATTGAATTCAAATGAACAAATATTCTGCTTATAATGATCCGAAACCCTATTCTCAATTTTTAAATCAATAAAAAAATAATTGTTCTCATTTATTCAAAATAAATAAATATATTCACCATGATTGTAATGATTACGAATTCGATGTTGACCTTTCATAATGTGAATTTTTTTATAATAAAAATATTATAAATAATATTTGATTTTTTTCACTACATAGATATAATTACCTAACCTATATATACAAAAATGAATCGATTTTTCCCTTGGTCACGGCATCATGCGTGAATGGCTGGACCGATTACACTATTTCTTTTTTGTTGTATTTGTTATTACCAGGAGAAGGTTCTTAAGACAGAGAAAGTCCTGAAACTTCTACGGGAACTACAGAAAACGAGATTGCGCGTATAAGTCGCGGGCAGAAGCTAATATATTACCTCTATAGTATGTAACTAATCAGTAATCAGCCAACGTAAACCTAACAACAAGAGTCAAATTATTGGCTCTCCAAACTAATTTAGACTATTGCTGTGGCGGTCAATTTCAATTAGGTCAGTCAACTGGAACGACAGTTGTCCAAACAAAGGTGCGCATCTTTGTGTAAACGAAAACACAAGTTCTACTCTGTGAAATGATGATTTTAACCCGAGGCCAGATTTCAGGCCCGATGCATTACCTACCGATGAATTCGTATGCTTTCTGAGGCCCGAGAGCTGTGTAACGAAAGCGTATTGATAAATGATATTTACCTTAACGTTTTCTACTTCTATAAACTATAGAAGGTCTTGAATCAGCAGGAGAAGCAAGGCAAGTGAAAACTATCTACCTATATTTTCTTTTTTCTTCTCCAAATATTTTCTGATTTTATTATGTTTTCGACTTACTCACGTAACTTTTGACGAGGAACTCGACTAGTTTCAAGCCATGCTAGGGGCTCATAATCATGAGCCGCATTCCACGACCCGCGACGCGGCGACTATGCGGTGGCAGTAGCAGCGCGACAGTCGCCGTGTCGCGGGTCGCGGAATAGTTATGTCGCATAATACATAATTAATTAGTTTGTCGTACGAAAATCTTCTAATGTATTTCGTTTCGGGATCTAAGACAGTTATTCATGTCCTTGAGACGCACCGTTCGTCTCTGGACTTCAGTGTGTTGTTGTTGTGTGACTTCGTTCCAATGTTTTCATGATTTACTTATATAGATATTCATGATAGGTACCTATCTACGGCAGATTCTAGACATACAGGCGTTTTGCAGCGGTTGTAGCGGCAGTGATCCCAAAAATAAACAGAGAATTTGGCATGACCTTTTATTTTCAAATTCATGCGCTACGTTACAAAGCAATTATATAACAATGCACTTCATGATATAATAAAATAAAACTTCGTTATTTGAACTTGTTTCAAAAATAAAATACACTCAGAATATTGAAGACAATTAGGTCATGCATCGGCGTGGTCTTTCCTTTTAATTAAATGAAAAACTAAGTCTACATTGATCACCAGTATTCGCTAGTATTTCAACAAAGCAACACATCACTTCAATATGGCATTTAAACCAATTCAATCAATGTACAATTCACTCAAATTCATAATCACAGTAAAAACCATTCTATTTGTTCGTCTATTTGGTGGATTTTACTTTAAAATAAATTCGAACATATTCGTCCAGTTTATTGTGATCACACATAGTTTTGTATGTGTCGTGTCGTCAACATTGTTGGTTTTAACTATTGCATGGCAGTTTAAGTTACCAACATTGTTGAAAGTAAAATTGTTCTCATATCTTGCTAAGTACTGCCTCAGTGCAGTTATTTCTTTCGTTTCTAATGCAGAGAAATATCAATCTCTTTTGATCAATTTCAATGAAATCGATTCTGAATTAGGTGTGGGGTCTAATATGGATATTCCCATCTCACGCATTATTCTCTTAATTTCTTTGACAAGCGAAATAATCCAGTTTCGTCGCGGCACTCGTGCGAACGAGTCGTGTTGTAATTGTTTACGTCGATTTGACGCACTAATCGTCTGACCATTGATAAGCAAGTACCTAAGAGCTTAGAAAGGTCCCGCGCGGGGCAAACCGGTTTGCCACCGGCGCGCTATTGATGCAACGTGTCTGCGAATACAATGAGTGATACAAATGAGAATTACGATGAAATAAATGATGAGAATATGAATGAAGTTACAAACGAAATTTCAACTTCAAATGAAAATTTAGACAATTTAGATAATCCAACCAAGAAGAGAATGAGGGGAAGCAGCGATGAAGAATGGACAGAAGTAACACGAAAAAGCAAAATACTTAAGGATATAAACAAAATAGAAGTATACATATCCAGTAAAGAAAAACTACCAAAACAATTTAATTTAGCCAAGATATTTAGAGACCAGAATATTAAAGATATTATGAGAGTAAAGTTTACCAATCCATACCGAGTTCGTATAGAACTGGGTAATGAAATTAGTGCGGAGAAATTAGAAACATGCAAATACTTTCTTGATCAAGGGTGGAATATTCACAGAGCAATGGAGAATAGTATGTCGTACGGAGTGATACGAGATGTTGACTTGGACATGTCAGAAGAAAACATTTTGGAGAATATTTTTTGTCCTGAACCAGCTAAGCTAATTTCAGTTCTTCGTCTGAATCGCAAGAATTTTGGGGAAGATGGATGGTCACCTAGTGAAGCTGTGCGCCTTGCCTTTAAAGGTTCCTTTCTACCACCATATGTGTACACTCATGATTTGAGAATAAAAGTCGAACCATATGTATTTCCGGTTTCACAGTGCTCACGTTGTTGGAGATTTGGCCATGTACATAAAAAATGTCCTAGTAGCAAGGTGATTTGTCCCAAATGCGGAAAAAATCACGAAAATTGTGAAACTT